AGGTGATTTCGCGTTTGGCTCGCGTTAGCAGCGGAAGCGTTTTCGAAGTGTGCCTCGTGTTGAATTTCGCGCGTTTAGAGTACCACAACCTTCAAGCGTTCTCGAAGAGCGAAGGCCAACCATTCCGTTGGAGTTCGAGTTCGTTCGTCCGTTTCTTTCGTCGCGACTCGAGTGCTTTGACTTCGCGTTGACTTTTTTTTTTTTCCTCGTCCCGTTGACTCCGTGCGTGTGCAGATGCGAGCACTGGCTCAGGCGAAGATGGCGGAGGCAGCCGGTGCAGCAGCAGCAGGCCACAACGACCCAGTCGAATGGTGAGTAGAGCATTTTCTCACTGAGTCCGACATTCTCACCAGGTGTGCCCGTCTAATTATCTGCGCTCCCTTTTCGTGCATGTCCCCCCTTACCCCCTTCCCCCATCCCTCCCACCCACCCCTCCACAGCCCAGTGCCGCGTGTACGTGGGGAGCATCTTCTACGACCTCACAGAGGCCGACATTCTCCTCGCCTTCTCGCCCTTCGGTACGCTCCTGCGCCTCATGCGCTTTGGATGCTGGGTTGTCTCGGGTGGCCTGGTTGGCTTGGGTTTTTCGGATGAGCTGGGGTGCATGTGAAAGGATTGTGTACGTGGGGGAGCATCTTCTACGACCTCACCGAGGCAGACATTCTCCTCGCCTTCTCGCCCTTCGGTACGCTCACCTTGTTTTAGTCCAATCAACTCTCCCCCCGTGGTACGCTCCTCATGCGCCTAACCACTGGTGGGCTAGCGCGGCGTAGCAGGTGCCTGAAAAGGGGGGCGCATGCATGCCAGGGCCCCTATGTTGACTCCGCCACGCTTTGGTGGCTTGATTGCCTCGAGTGCCCTTGTTGACTTCTATTTTTGGATAGCCTGATGTGCTTGGGTGGGATTGGATAGGGAGGACGTGAAAGCATCGCGAGCAAAGCAATCTAAAGTTGCTGATGTGTCGTTGTTATGTGTGCGCTCTTTTTGTTTTGCCCACCCATCAGGCCCCATCACCAAGATCGACATGCCTAAGGTGTGTGGGTGTGCGTGCGTGCGTGTGTGCGTGCGGACGGGCGGGCGGGAGGGCGGGCGCGCGGGTGCGGGCGCACGGGGGGGCCGGGCCGGGGCCGGGGGGCGGGGCGTGTGCGTGTGCATGTGCGTGTGCGTGTGCGTGTGCGTATGCGTATGCGTGTGCGTGCGCTGGCTCGCTTCTCCTCCCATCCCATCCCATCCCATCCCACCCTTCAACACTTCACCTTGCACAGCCGCTTACACGTGCCCATATTCACAGCTACTTGTCCGACATTCTCCGTCTTTCCGCGTGATTCTGCGCACATTTACTTTCCGGCTGTTTCTTTCCCTCTGCTTCACCCTAACCATTTGTCTCCATCTCTGTTCCTTTCCCTCCCTCCTCCCTCTTCTGACTTCAGGACGCGAGCACGGGCAAGCACGAGGGCTTTTGTTTCATCGAGTCCACCAACCCCGAGACTGCATCCACCGCATTTGAAGTCAACCACTCACCTTCCTCCTTCTTTCGCCCTGGTGTTCTCTTTTCTCCTCTCCTCTCATCTCCTCTTGTTTCCCCACCTCAGGACGCGAGCACGGGCAAGCACAAGGGCTTCTGTTTCATCGAGTTTACCAACCCTGAGACTGCCTCTACTGCTATCGCTGCTATGAACGACTTTACCCTCGCTGGCCGGTACTTAGCCCACACTCTTCTTGCCTATCACTCGCTGGCCCGTACTTAAACCCCCCACTCCTGCTTCTCGCTTGCTGTCCTGTATTTAAGTCACCTCTGGCTCTCCGGTTCAAATGCAGTCACTGCTCTCGCGGGAGCCTTGGAAGTCTTGAAATGTAAGGGCTCATTTTTGCTATTAGGTGACTTTTGAGTCGACTCAAAAGTCGCTATGAAAGTCTTGAAATGTAAAGGCTTATCTTCGCTATTAGCAGCTCTTCACAACCGGACGCTAGTGTACTGCTGTATAGCTGGCTTAGTCGTTAGATCTGTTTACTCCTCTTGGCTAATTTGTGTGCGCTGACCTCACTTTTGAACTGCCTCACGAGCCTTTTGGCTAATTCCCGTGTTCTGGCCTTTCTCTCTGTACGTGCGTATTTCTTCCCTCTTTTTCCTCTGCTTCGTTTCCCTGCGTTTGTCTTCTCTCTTTCTGTCCTTTTTTCTTTCTATTTTCTCTTTTCTTGTTTCTGCCTTTCCTTCCTGCGTTTGTGCGTATCTTTGCGGCTTGCCCCTATGCCCGTATTGTTTCTTCTTGCTGTTTCACGCCCTATATCCCACAACACCACCGCCCAATAGTCACACGCATCTAAAGAAATCGCCACCTAACAAGTCATCCCGTTATAAGCACAGCGCCTTCTCACCCCGCGCAGCATGCACCACACATGCAATCTTTTCCGACCCGCCCGCACTCGCTCGAATATCCACTTCACTAGTATCTTAATCGTCAGAGCAACCAAACCCTTCGCTTTTTACACCCTGACTCTCAACTGCTCCAACAACGTGCAAAGGGGAGTCCTCGTGTTGGTTCTGCTGGTGCTGCGCGTCTGATGGTTTGTGGCCCGCAATCCCATCCTTTTTTCTATCACCGTTTTCGAGCACACATGTCCTTGTGTTCGGTACTGCGTTTTCTCTCTTGAGAGAACACATGTCTGGCAAAGCTCAACTCCATAGAAGCTGCGAGTTTCGCTTCAAAACAGAAAGGCATGTCTGTTCATTAGAAGTCTGCATGCCTATCCCTTGTTATTGCGTGAGAAGTCTGCATGCCTATCCCTTGTTATTGCGTGAGAAGTCTGCATGCCTATCCCTTGTTATTGCGTGATCTGTGTCTACAAGACACAGATCCCTTGTTATTGCTTGACTGATCTGTGTCTTCTAGCTTCGTGTCTCCCCTCTCATCGTGTCCGCTTTTTCTTAGCTCCCCATCTCTCTTTCCTTCTCGTTTTTCTCAAAAGGCTCCTCTCATCCTTTCAGCTTAGCTTCAGCTTGCTCGTACTTTCCTGCCTCTCTTCTTCCGTCTTCCCACTCCCTCCTGCCCTTAGCTCCTCCCCGCTTCCCCCCCCTCCCACTCTCCGTCCCTCCCTCCCCACCCCATCCACCTTCCTGCCTGATCTCCACCCACCCCCACTCTTTCCCTTTTCCCCCCCTCTTTTTTTCCCTTCTTTTCCCCTTTCCCCCCCTTCTTCCCCCTTTTTTCCCCTTTTTCTTTTTCCGCCCTGTCTCCCCCCCACCCCCCCCCCCCCCCCCCCCCCCCCCCCCCCGCGTTTTCCTCCCTGGTCCCCCTTTTTCTCCCCCTCCCCACCACACCCATGTGGATCAGGCGAATCAAGGTCGGCCGTCCCAACAACATTGCTTCCCCTTCGCCTGCTGCGCAGACCATTGCGAACCGTGAGTGCCCTGGCCTCAATCCCCCAACCGTGAGTCTTCCTGCTCCCCGTGTCCTTCCTCTCCTCGCTCTTATATCTCCACTCACCTCCTCCCGCCCGCCCAACTCCCCTCTCGCTCTGCCACTCATCTCTTTGAATGCCTTTTGAGGCGCCTCATTTGTTATCTCTCTTCCCTCCTCCCAACTCTATCGACCACTCATCGTCCACTTCCCTCCCCACACCCGCCCAACCCCCCTCTCGCTCTGCCACTCATCTCTTTGAATGCCTTTTGAGGCGCCTCATTTGTTTTCTCTCCCTTCCCTCCTCCCAACTCCATCGACCACTCATCGTCTTATGTTTCCACTTCCCTCCTCCCGCCCGCCCAACCCCCTCTCGCTCTGCCACTCATCTCTTTGAATGCCTTTTGAGGCGCCTCATTTGTTTTCCCTCCCTCCTCCCAACTCTATCCACCACTCATCGTCTTATGTGTCCACTTCCCTCCCCCACCCGCCCAACCCCCCTCTCGCTCTGCCACTCATCTCTTTCCATGCCTTTTGAGGCGCCTCATTTGAAGCTGTCTGCCCTTTCCCTGCCCTCCCCCCCCCCCCCCGCCCACCTCCCTCTTGCTCCACCTCTCGTCTCTTTGATTGTATTTTGCGGCGCCTCAGATTTCTTTTCCTTTCCCGCCCCCCCCCCCCCTCCCCCACGTCCTAACTCTTTTCGCCACTCATCTCCTCGATTTGCCTTTGTTCCTCATTGTTCACGCATCTCCTGTGTCTTCCTCCCTTTGGGGCTGCATTGTCTTCGTTCAATCCCGCATGCATTGATGTCACCATCGCCCATCCTCTCTTCTCTTCTTGCATTCTGCCATGTGCCCTTCTCATTCCTATCCTCCCTTTGCCCCCTGTGCCCCCTCTGCCCCTCTGCTTCTATCCCCCCTCTGCCCCTGTTCGGCCTCTGCCCCCTCTGCCCCTCTGCCCCTCTGCCCCTCTGCCCCTCTGCCCCTCTGCCCCTCTGCCCCTCTGCCCCTCTGCCCCTCTGCCCCTCTCTCTGCCCCTCTGCCCTCTGCCCCTCTGCCCTCTCTCTCTGCCCCTCTGCCCTCTGCTGCCCCTCTGCCCCTCTGCCCCTCTGCCCCTCTGCCCCTCTGCCCCTCTGCCCCTCTGCCCCTCTGCCCTCTCTGCCCCTCTGCCCCTCTGCCCCTCTGCCCCTCTGCCCCTCTGCCCCTCTGCCCCTCTGCCCCTCTGCCCCTGCCCCTCTGCCCCTCTGCCCCTCTGCCCCTCTGCCCCTCTGCCCCTCTGCCCCTCTGCCCCTCTGCCCCTCTGCCCCTCTGCCCCTCTCGCCCCTCTGCCCCTCTGCCCCTCTGCCCTCTGCCCCTCTGCCCCTCTGCCCCTCTGCCCCTCTGCCCCTCTGCCCCTCTGCCCCTCTGCCCCTCTGCCCCTCTGCCCCTCTGCCCCTCTGCCCCTCTGCCCCTCTGCCCCTCTGCCCCTCTGCCCCTCTGCCCCTCTGCCCCTCTGCCCCTCTGCCCCTCTGCCCCTCTCTGCCCCTCTGCCCCTCTGCCCCTCTGCCCCTCTGCCCCTCTGCCCCTCTGCCCCCTGCCCCTACCCCTCTACCCCTCTGCCCCTGCACTCCTTGCTGATCGGCATCAGCTCTCGCGTTCAGCCAAGCTGCACTGGCTGCTCCCAACCCCAACCTCCTCGCCACCGCAAAGCTCCAGGCTCAGGTGAGCTGGCGTTGCAGTTTCAGGTGGCTTCTCAGGTGGTTTGGTGTTCAGGCGGCCTTTCAGGTGGTTTGGGGGTTTAGGCAGTCTGCACGCGGGTTGGGGTGTAGGTTGGCTTAAAGCTTGTTCGGCAATCAAGTGTGACTTAATGATTCTTCCCAGGCTGATTCTTGGCCTGGAATTTTGAGGCGTCTCAAAAGTCAGGTGTGACTTGATGATTCTTTCCAGGTTGTTTTTGGCCTGGACTGGACGCATGGCCATTTTTTGCCTGGCCCACTTCCCATTTTCCACTTTCCCATATTTGCCTATCTCCTCGCAGGTGATTGCGAGCAGCATCAACCAGAAGGTGCCAGGAGTTGCCGAGGTGCCGCAGAAGCCAGCAGTGAACACGCGCGTGTATGTGGGCTCGATCGTGTACGACCTTGCAGAGCCGGATATCATGGCCATCTTCCAGGCCTTCGGCCCCATCAAGGTGCGTGAAGGGCGCTGTGGGATGCTGTGGGGTGCTGTGGAGTGCTGTGGGATGCTGTGGGGGCTGCTGTGGCGTGATGTGGTGCCGCAGAAGCTAGCAGTGAACACGCGCGTGTATGTGGGCTCCATCGTGTACGACCTCGCAGAGCCAAACATCATGGCCATCTTCCAGGCCTTCGGCCCCATCAAGGTATGAAAGGAGTGCTGCTGTGGGGTGCTGTGGGGTGCTGTGGGGTGCTGTGAGGGCTGGGGCGGCTGCGGGGGCTGCGGGGGCTGCTGTGGGGTGCTGTTGGTGCAATAAAAGCCAGCGGTGAACACGCGCGTGTATGTGGGCTCCATCATGTACGACCTTGCAGAGCCGGATATCATGGCCATCTTCCAGGCATTCGGTCCCATCATGGTGCGGATGTTAGTCGCATCAAGATGCAACAGTCTCTCGTCGTTTTTTCCTCGTATCTTCCCTTCTTCCCTTGACTTACCTCCCCGCAACTCCCTGTCTTCGTTTGTTCAAAGAAGTTCTCCCTCCGTTTTCCGCGTTCTCTCTTGCCGTCATAAACTTCCAACACCCTTTCCCCGCTCCCCCCTCTCCCACTCCCCCGTGCAACCACGTCTGCTTTTGAACATTGCTCCCTTCACCATGTTTCCACTTTCCTCCACGCACCTCACGTTTTCCTGTGCCACCACAATCAATGATTTTGCAGTCGTGCCAGCTCATTCCCAACCCCGACACGGGCAAGCACAAGGGCTACGGTTTTGTTGAGTGAGTCAAACGCTCTTGCTCTCGCCCTGCCTCGTTCCTCACCTTCCCCTGCTGCTTCGCTTCTCCCCTTCCACCCCTTTTTTTGCGGTTTGTGGTGCCATGGTGTCTGTGTGTGTTTTTGTTCTTTTCTTTTGTAACTTCATGTGCAAGTGTGCATCCCTTCCTCCCTCTCTCCCCTCCCCTCCCTCCCCGTATCCCTTCTTCCCTCTTCCCACTTCCCCTCCTCGCTTTTTCCCCCTTCTTACTGTGCGCGCTCCTTGCAGGTTTGAGACGGAGGAAGCAGCCAAGGGTGCCATCCAGTGCATGAACGGCTTCCAGCTGGGTGGCAGGCAGCTCAAGGTGTGTGGCAGACAGCTCAAGGTGTGTGGCAGACAGCTCAAGGTGTGTGGCAGACAGCTCAAGGTGTGTGGCAGACAGCTCAAGGTGTGTGGCAGACAGCTCAAGGTGTGTGGCAGACAGCTCAAGGTGTGTGGCAGACAGCTCAAGGTGTGTGGCAGACAGCTCAAGGTGTGTGGCAGACAGCTCAAGGTGTGTGGCAGACAGCTCAAGGTGTGTGGCAGACAGCTCAAGGTGTGTGGCAGACAGCTCAAGGTGTGTGGCAGACAGCTCAAGGTGTGTGGCAGACAGCTCAAGGTGTGTGGCAGACAGCTCAAGGTGTGTGGCAGACAGCTCAAGGTGTGTGGCAGACAGCTCAAGGTGTGTGGCAGACAGCTCAAGGTGTGTGGCAGACAGCTCAAGGTGTGTGGCAGACAGCTCAAGGTGTGTGGCAGACAGCTCAAGGTGTGTGGCAGACAGCTCAAGGTGTGTGGCAGACAGCTCAAGGTGTGTGGCAGACAGCTCAAGGTGTGTGGCAGACAGCTCAAGGTGTGTGGCAGACAGCTCAAGGTGTGTGGCAGACAGCTCAAGGTGTGTGGCAGACAGCTCAAGGTGTGTGGCAGACAGCTCAAGGTGTGTGGCAGACAGCTCAAGGTGTGTGGCAGACAGCTCAAGGTGTGTGGCAGACAGCTCAAGGTGTGTGGCAGACAGCTCAAGGTGTGTGGCAGACAGCTCAAGGTGTGTGGCAGACAGCTCAAGGTGTGTGGCAGACAGCTCAAGGTGTGTGGCAGACAGCTCAAGGTGTGTGGCAGACAGCTCAAGGTGTGTGGCAGACAGCTCAAGGTGTGTGGCAGACAGCTCAAGGTGTGTGGCAGACAGCTCAAGGTGTGTGGCAGACAGCTCAAGGTGTGTGGCAGACAGCTCAAGGTGTGTGGCAGACAGCTCAAGGTGTGTGGCAGACAGCTCAAGGTGTGTGGCAGACAGCTCAAGGTGTGTGGCAGACAGCTCAAGGTGTGTGGCAGACAGCTCAAGGTGTGTGGCAGACAGCTCAAGGTGTGTGGCAGACAGCTCAAGGTGTGTGGCAGACAGCTCAAGGTGTGTGGCAGACAGCTCAAGGTGTGTGGCAGACAGCTCAAGGTGTGTGGCAGACAGCTCAAGGTGTGTGGCAGACAGCTCAAGGTGTGTGGCAGACAGCTCAAGGTGTGTGGCAGACAGCTCAAGGTGTGTGGCAGACAGCTCAAGGTGTGTGGCAGACAGCTCAAGGTGTGTGGCAGACAGCTCAAGGTGTGTGGCAGACAGCTCAAGGTGTGTGGCAGACAGCTCAAGGTGTGTGGCAGACAGCTCAAGGTGTGTGGCAGACAGCTCAAGGTGTGTGGCAGACAGCTCAAGGTGTGTGGCAGACAGCTCAAGGTGTGTGGCAGACAGCTCAAGGTGTGTGGCAGACAGCTCAAGGTGTGTGGCAGACAGCTCAAGGTGTGTGGCAGACAGCTCAAGGTGTGTGGCAGACAGCTCAAGGTGTGTGGCAGACAGCTCAAGGTGTGTGGCAGACAGCTCAAGGTGTGTGGCAGACAGCTCAAGGTGTGTGGCAGACAGCTCAAGGTGTGTGGCAGACAGCTCAAGGTGTGTGGCAGACAGCTCAAGGTGTGTGGCAGACAGCTCAAGGTGTGTGGCAGACAGCTCAAGGTGTGTGGCAGACAGCTCAAGGTGTGTGGCAGACAGCTCAAGGTGTGTGGCAGACAGCTCAAGGTGTGTGGCAGACAGCTCAAGGTGTGTGGCAGACAGCTCAAGGTGTGTGGCAGACAGCTCAAGGTGTGTGGCAGACAGCTCAAGGTGTGTGGCAGACAGCTCAAGGTGTGTGGCAGACAGCTCAAGGTGTGTGGCAGACAGCTCAAGGTGTGTGGCAGACAGCTCAAGGTGTGTGGCAGACAGCTCAAGGTGTGTGGCAGACAGCTCAAGGTGTGTGGCAGACAGCTCAAGGTGTGTGGCAGACAGCTCAAGGTGTGTGGCAGACAGCTCAAGGTGTGTGGCAGACAGCTCAAGGTGTGTGGCAGACAGCTCAAGGTGTGTGGCAGACAGCTCAAGGTGTGTGGCAGACAGCTCAAGGTGTGTGGCAGACAGCTCAAGGTGTGTGGCAGACAGCTCAAGGTGTGTGGCAGACAGCTCAAGGTGTGTGGCAGACAGCTCAAGGTGTGTGGCAGACAGCTCAAGGTGTGTGGCAGACAGCTCAAGGTGTGTGGCAGACAGCTCAAGGTGTGTGGCAGACAGCTCAAGGTGTGTGGCAGACAGCTCAAGGTGTGTGGCAGACAGCTCAAGGTGTGTGGCAGACAGCTCAAGGTGTGTGGCAGACAGCTCAAGGTGTGTGGCAGACAGCTCAAGGTGTGTGGCAGACAGCTCAAGGTGTGTGGCAGACAGCTCAAGGTGTGTGGCAGACAGCTCAAGGTGTGTGGCAGACAGCTCAAGGTGTGTGGCAGACAGCTCAAGGTGTGTGGCAGACAGCTCAAGGTGTGTGGCAGACAGCTCAAGGTGTGTGGCAGACAGCTCAAGGTGTGTGGCAGACAGCTCAAGGTGTGTGGCAGACAGCTCAAGGTGTGTGGCAGACAGCTCAAGGTGTGTGGCAGACAGCTCAAGGTGTGTGGCAGACAGCTCAAGGTGTGTGGCAGACAGCTCAAGGTGTGTGGCAGACAGCTCAAGGTGTGTGGCAGACAGCTCAAGGTGTGTGGCAGACAGCTCAAGGTGTGTGGCAGACAGCTCAAGGTGTGTGGCAGACAGCTCAAGGTGTGTGGCAGACAGCTCAAGGTGTGTGGCAGACAGCTCAAGGTGTGTGGCAGACAGCTCAAGGTGTGTGGCAGACAGCTCAAGGTGTGTGGCAGACAGCTCAAGGTGTGTGGCAGACAGCTCAAGGTGTGTGGCAGACAGCTCAAGGTGTGTGGCAGACAGCTCAAGGTGTGTGGCAGACAGCTCAAGGTGTGTGGCAGACAGCTCAAGGTGTGTGGCAGACAGCTCAAGGTGTGTGGCAGACAGCTCAAGGTGTGTGGCAGACAGCTCAAGGTGTGTGGCAGACAGCTCAAGGTGTGTGGCAGACAGCTCAAGGTGTGTGGCAGACAGCTCAAGGTGTGTGGCAGACAGCTCAAGGTGTGTGGCAGACAGCTCAAGGTGTGTGGCAGACAGCTCAAGGTGTGTGGCAGACAGCTCAAGGTGTGTGGCAGACAGCTCAAGGTGTGTGGCAGACAGCTCAAGGTGTGTGGCAGACAGCTCAAGGTGTGTGGCAGACAGCTCAAGGTGTGTGGCAGACAGCTCAAGGTGTGTGGCAGACAGCTCAAGGTGTGTGGCAGACAGCTCAAGGTGTGTGGCAGACAGCTCAAGGTGTGTGGCAGACAGCTCAAGGTGTGTGGCAGACAGCTCAAGGTGTGTGGCAGACAGCTCAAGGTGTGTGGCAGACAGCTCAAGGTGTGTGGCAGACAGCTCAAGGTGTGTGGCAGACAGCTCAAGGTGTGTGGCAGACAGCTCAAGGTGTGTGGCAGACAGCTCAAGGTGTGTGGCAGACAGCTCAAGGTGTGTGGCAGACAGCTCAAGGTGTGTGGCAGACAGCTCAAGGTGTGTGGCAGACAGCTCAAGGTGTGTGGCAGACAGCTCAAGGTGTGTGGCAGACAGCTCAAGGTGTGTGGCAGACAGCTCAAGGTGTGTGGCAGACAGCTCAAGGTGTGTGGCAGACAGCTCAAGGTGTGTGGCAGACAGCTCAAGGTGTGTGGCAGACAGCTCAAGGTGTGTGGCAGACAGCTCAAGGTGTGTGGCAGACAGCTCAAGGTGTGTGGCAGACAGCTCAAGGTGTGTGGCAGACAGCTCAAGGTGTGTGGCAGACAGCTCAAGGTGTGTGGCAGACAGCTCAAGGTGTGTGGCAGACAGCTCAAGGTGTGTGGCAGACAGCTCAAGGTGTGTGGCAGACAGCTCAAGGTGTGTGGCAGACAGCTCAAGGTGTGTGGCAGACAGCTCAAGGTGTGTGGCAGACAGCTCAAGGTGTGTGGCAGACAGCTCAAGGTGTGTGGCAGACAGCTCAAGGTGTGTGGCAGACAGCTCAAGGTGTGTGGCAGACAGCTCAAGGTGTGTGGCAGACAGCTCAAGGTGTGTGGCAGACAGCTCAAGGTGTGTGGCAGACAGCTCAAGGTGTGTGGCAGACAGCTCAAGGTGTGTGGCAGACAGCTCAAGGTGTGTGGCAGACAGCTCAAGGTGTGTGGCAGACAGCTCAAGGTGTGTGGCAGACAGCTCAAGGTGTGTGGCAGACAGCTCAAGGTGTGTGGCAGACAGCTCAAGGTGTGTGGCAGACAGCTCAAGGTGTGTGGCAGACAGCTCAAGGTGTGTGGCAGACAGCTCAAGGTGTGTGGCAGACAGCTCAAGGTGTGTGGCAGACAGCTCAAGGTGTGTGGCAGACAGCTCAAGGTGTGTGGCAGACAGCTCAAGGTGTGTGGCAGACAGCTCAAGGTGTGTGGCAGACAGCTCAAGGTGTGTGGCAGACAGCTCAAGGTGTGTGGCAGACAGCTCAAGGTGTGTGGCAGACAGCTCAAGGTGTGTGGCAGACAGCTCAAGGTGTGTGGCAGACAGCTCAAGGTGTGTGGCAGACAGCTCAAGGTGTGTGGCAGACAGCTCAAGGTGTGTGGCAGACAGCTCAAGGTGTGTGGCAGACAGCTCAAGGTGTGTGGCAGACAGCTCAAGGTGTGTGGCAGACAGCTCAAGGTGTGTGGCAGACAGCTCAAGGTGTGTGGCAGACAGCTCAAGGTGTGTGGCAGACAGCTCAAGGTGTGTGGCAGACAGCTCAAGGTGTGTGGCAGACAGCTCAAGGTGTGTGGCAGACAGCTCAAGGTGTGTGGCAGACAGCTCAAGGTGTGTGGCAGACAGCTCAAGGTGTGTGGCAGACAGCTCAAGGTGTGTGGCAGACAGCTCAAGGTGTGTGGCAGACAGCTCAAGGTGTGTGGCAGACAGCTCAAGGTGTGTGGCAGACAGCTCAAGGTGTGTGGCAGACAGCTCAAGGT